ACAAACGGGTCAACCCAAACAGATATGGAACGCTACTTACGCTACCGGCCAAAACGAACAATTTTCAATCGTCTTATTAAACGGAATAATAAACAGGCAAGTGGGCTCGTTAGTCAATATAATATGAAAGTGGTTGCTGTATATATACTAATATAAGGAAAGTAGTGAGTGTATGGAATAATTTGGAAAAAGGCATAGGAAAACATTCTCCAATTTGAAAAAAAGGCATCGGAAAACATTCACCAAACTTCCCTTCTTTTTATTTTTTATTTTTATTTTTGTGGATCACCATTCTTCCCTATTTATTAGTTTCAATAATAATATTTTTTTCCTTTCAAGTAATAATGTTTGTTTATTGTGTTTTTAAAATTGGGGATGATTGTTTATCAATTCAACTAGAAAAAAATTAATCAAAATTCAAATTTAACTCAACTTTAACCAAATTCCACTATCCTCAATATTATCGATATAATTAAATAATATCAACTAATCATTCTTCTACATCACATCAACTTTAATTCACGATTCATCTACTCACATAATTTTAACTAACCATCACTTTCAATCATTTTTCTCATACTTTACCTCAAATCAACTTTAATTATTTTATTTAAATATTATTTTAATATATCCACAAACAACTAACCATACCACTTTTTTTTTAAAAAAATTAACTATAGTTAAAAAAGAAACTAAATAAAAACTAGTTAAATCCATAAACAATCACCCACGAAATGTTTTGGTCGCTCCAACAGTTTTTGTGGTGCATATAATTATAGCGTGTGGGACCAGCGCCGAATCCAGAAGTATTTATCAGCCAGGGCAAAAACCAAAGTAAGGAAACAATTCATTTCAATACTGAAAATATATGTCAAAGCTTGACATGATATTAAACTAAAGAATGATTAAAAAAAAGAGAAGAAGATAATTAGATGAAAAAAATGCGAACAATGAAATAACAAAGCATACATGTTTTAGGACTGAGAATTTTTTTCCTCATCTCTTCTTGTTTTTGAACTAAAATCATCTAGAACTAAGCACAAAATTCATAGATCAACACAATATATATATATATATACATATATATATATATATATATATATATAAACTAATCCTGGTGTGAGAATCATATTTGAAACTACTTTCAATTATGTATGATGTTATTTTTAATCTTACATGGTGCTATCATTTTTACAAATGCTAACATAAATTGTGTTGCTATTTTTAATAAAATATATCCTGATTAAAAATAGCACTAAAATAAAATCAATCATAACATTACATACAATTAAAAATAGCGGTTATCACGGTTTTCACGCTAGGACTTAGTTCTCATTTGAACCAAATCCTATATGTATATATATATATATATATATTTTAGGAATTAGTTCAAATGCAGCCGTTTTTTTAAAGTAAGAACGTGAGACTCATTTTTAGCCACAAGATTTGGTACATCATGTGTGGCCAAGATTTACTATTTTATTTTTATTATTTTAATTATTTACATATTATTTTAACCTGTTGACTCCGGCGTTGACCATTGACTTCCGGCGAAATCTGTTGACTTTCAGCGTTGACTGTTGACTTCCGGCGTTGACTCCAACGTTGACCGTTGACAACTAACCTTTCAACTAGGTTAGTTCTCTGTAGTTGCTAGACTATTTCTATGTAGTTGCTAGACTATTTCTATGTAGTTGTTAGGTTAGTTGTCTGCAGTTGGTAGGTTACTTCTTTGTAGTTGCTAGGTTAGTAGTTGCTAGGTCAGTTCCATGTAGTTGCTAGGTTAGTTCTCTGTAGTTGCTAGGTTAATAGTTGCTAGGTTAGTTCTCTATAGTTGTTAGGTTAGTAGTTGCTAGGTTAGTTCTCTGTAGTTGCTAGGTTAGTTCTCTATAGTTGCTAAGTTAGCTCTCTGTAGTTGCTAAGACCTGTCCACATTTTAAGAGCTAACCGCATTTTAAGAGCTGTAATCATTTGATCCGCCCCCTATATATATATATATATATATATATATATATATATATATATATATATATATATATATATATATATATTAACAATATATTACCAGAAAATTCAGACCTCAAACTGCAACTAAAACAAATTCAAGCAATTTTTATAGCTATCCCAATGTACAATGCAACCAATTTATTAATTCAATATATCAATCTCAAGATGGAACATAACTGGTAATACCTAAGAGGGCATTTTTGCTCGAGTTCAATCAAACCAGCCTAGCTATTTCAATCAATAAAAGAGAAAGGGAAAAAACAACACATAATAGAAACAAAAATTCTTATAATTGAGAAGTGATTTCCTGTCGACTCCTAAACAAAACTTTTCTCTCTCTACAGAAAAACCCCTTTTCTCTCTCAGGCGCAACTCCTGCAGATCTGCTGCCTTCCCCGGCGGATTCGGCGGGCACCTTGACGGTGGACGTCCCAAGGCCACACGATTCGGCCCCTATTTATGTTGAAGCCCGGTTTCTCGGTCGATGGAGCTCGGTTGGCTGGGACCGACGGGATCTCGTGACTCCATGGCTGCCTTTTCGGTGAGTTGGTCGCCGGATTCCATGGCCGAGGCGAGGCGGGCTGCTGTGCTTTTACGGGGTTGGGTGGTGGTGTCGGAAGCCTTGTGTTGGTGTCGACATAGAGGTGGTTGGTTTTCCCTTATGTCTTCTTCTCCTATGGTGCTTGGGAGGAGAGGATGGCCGGCGTGCCGAGCCCGAGCCGTGGTGTGGATTGGGCTTGGAGCGGCGGTGGTGTGTCTTGGGTTCTACCGCCCTCCTCTGGCTGAGGGGTTAGGACGATTGTTGGGCGCGAGATTGGGGGTTCGGTTTCAGATCTGGTTAGGCCTATGCTGCAGTTTCTGGGTTTGCAATCAAGACCTTGTTCCGGTCCAATTTGGTGGTCGTCTGTTGGTGTCACCGTTATGGTCTGTTTGGTGCATTATCAAGCCGTGGGAAGGGCTCTAGTCTAGTATAGTTTTTTATTTGGTGTTTTGTGTTGCTTGATTTTTGTGTGTTTTGTGTTTATGTGGTGTTTGATGTGTTGTTTTGTGAATTGTGTTTTGTTATCTCCTTTTTGGAGGAGTGTGTATTCTCCTTTGGGGAGTTGTGTTATTCTCCTGTGGGGAGCTTTGTGTATTCTCCTGTGGGGAGCTTTTATTTTTCTTATTCGTTTGTAGTGTGAGTTGTAGTATTTAGGCTACCTTGAGTAGTCCTCCTATTCCGGCTAGTGAGCCGGTTGTAATTACGTGTTTAGCTAATGAATTCTATCATTTCGAAAAAAAAAAAAAGAAGTGATTTCCTGTTCGAATTTGTGTATTTAATTCAGTGAGAAGGTATAAGAGCATTCCAGATTTCGAGTTTTAGTTTATCTGTTAACATGAGTGTTTTACTCTACCCCTAATTTTATTTTTCTTTTTTCATTTCTTTTGATACAAAGAGACCCCATGTGCCGGCCGGGATATTTCGACTACCATATACGTGATAGTCCGGGTGGCCCCTCGTAGTCATAGTCAAAGCTCGGGCTGAGGATGAATGTAATTGAGGGCCGTTCTCATTAATTAATTAATGCAAGTTCAAGACGACATCATTTTATTGGGCCCACCGAAAAAAAAAGAAATATAAAATTTGAATCATCTTTCATCTTCTTCCCTGCTAATTTTCTCTAATTATGCCCCTTTTGCAAAGATTTTCTGTGATTATTATTATAATTCATCTTCAGCACTAAAAAAACTGCCTAGGTTCGCCAATATATAAATTCGCCCCTGTGTGGGACTCCAATTATACATGCGACTATTTATTTATTTATTTGAAATATACATGTGGGAGAATTTTGTTTTCTTAAATTCATAAATTGCAAGGTGATATGGGATGTCATACTAGGTCGATTATGTCCTAATGAGAAACATGACTGAACTGAGTGAACGTGTAGGTCGATTGAAGATCGAGGATACCAGAGGTAGAAGAGTCACTAGGTGGGTGGTGACTCCACATGTAAGATAGCTCACTAACAAATCGAGCTAGGGCTAAGCTAGCCTAATAGAAGCTCATCCTGAAGGCATGCAGGTCGATGGTGCAACCAATGAAACAAAATTTATTTGGTGGGGGTCGGAGCATCCTGGTTTGATTTTATAACTTTTATAATTTACTAGTTTTGTAACGAATCAACTTAGATTATTTGATTTTATATATATCTCATTCTCGTTCAACTCTACAAATTCTAAGTTCGTTTTTTAAAAACAGCTCATCATTTTTCTGACTCGCAATATTTTAAGAGTACACAATTACCACTACAAGAAAGTGATGAAATTCCAACGGAAATATATTCCAATAGAATTCCAACGGCAATTCCAATGGATATTTCAATGTTATTATTTCCGTTGGAATAATTCCAACGGAAATTCCAACAAAAATATTCCGTTGGAATGAGTTTTCCATTGGAATTTCAGTTGGATTTTGACAATTCCAACGGTAGATTTTCCAACGGTGGTGGAAATAAAAATTCCAATGGAAATTGTATATTCCAACGGAATTTCTTACGGCCAAAAGCCGTTGGAAATATAGCCGTTGGAATCATCAAATTCCATCTAAAATTCCAATGAAAAATATATTCCAACGGAATATTTTCGTTGGAATCATTCCAACGGAAGCTATACCGTTGGAATATCCGTTGGAATTTCTATTGGAATATATTACCATAGGATTTTCCATTGGAATATAACAATTTTTTTGTAGTGTACTTGACATATTGTTTTTTTTTTTTTTTTTTNATCTGTGAGAAAGGAAAATAAAGAAAAAAAAACTTAAAGCAAATAATTTTTATTTGGAATGCACAGTAAATTAATTAATATGCACTAATTCCACTGCTCTTTATCCTTTTTTTTGTTAAATTTTTTTTATTTCCTTTTTGTTATTGTTTTCATATATTTAGCCTCCAAAACTTTGCACAAGGATTACTATTCATTTTAATTATTTCTTGTACATGTTTTCCATGCCTCTATAAAAGGCCTATAAAGTCATATGTCAAAAGTTCATGAAATGTCAAATATATGCTAGAACATCTAAAAGATTCATTTAAAACGGTTTGAAGTCGGTCTACCACATGTTTTGCAAATGTACATCTTTATACATGCAATACACATAAGGCAAAATTGCTCTTCGATTTTTTGCAAAACGATACACGGTATTTACCACCAGCCTTAGAAAAGCTGACGTGGCACTCAAAATGCCACCACACTTGCTGAGTTGTATTTACCAGACGGTTTTTTTCCACGTCAGACTAAGACGACGTCATACGAAAATGACGTCTTTTCCTTTCAAACAAAAACTGAGCAAAAAAATAAAAAAATAAAAAAAAAGTCCAATCTCCCACCACCGGACCACTGCCCTCCGCCGCCGATGGACAATTCCAATGACCCCAACAAGCTGTCTTCCACCCAACACGAGCCCTCATCCACCGTCTCCGCTGCCGCCCAACCTCTCCTCTCCAAACTGTCTCCGCTGCCGCCCAACCTCTCCTCTCCAAACCTTATCCGCTGCTTGGGCCACCCATCGCCTCCATCTCTGGACACGAACAAGAAGACCAATCACAGTACATTCAGATCTCCTAGGGTTACGCTGTTACGGCCCTCGCTCCATTAAAGACTTGCCCTTTCTCCTTCTGTTTTGTCTCCTCGTTCTTTGCACCCTTGTCTTCGGAATTTTTGCCTCTGTTCATAGAAACCCTCACCGCCGCCAAATTCGTCTTTCGTCTACAATACGACGTTGTCCTCTTGCCATCTACTGAAAAACAATGTTGATTTCTCTGTAATTGCTCCAAAGTCATCACTTTTCACCGACCAGATTAATAAGTTTCAGTCAAGCCCACGACCTTAAATTCCATAAGTTTGAGTCTTGTTAAGAGCTTGATATGGACACTTGTGATAACCCTATTTTTAAGCGACCCCTTTGTGCTTTCCATGCTTACGCTACTCAAACGCTATGACGTGGAAAAAAAAAATAAAAACATAAAAAGTGAAACGAAACGACGTCGTCTTAGTCTGAGGTGGAAAAAAAATTGGCTGGTAAACACAACTCAGCAGGTGTGGTGGTATTTTGAGTGTCACGTCAGCTTTTCTAGGGCTGGTGGTTGTCAACACCGTGTATCGTTTTGCAAAAAAATGAAGAGCGTGATATAGTGTGCAAAAGTTAAAATGTTGTGATTAATTTGCAATCTCGATACAGGTCATGATATTAGATGCAATTTTTCCTAGATATAATTGGTTCAATTTCATTTTGCATGTTCAAGTGTAAGTGCATTAAGTTTTGGATGGCTCCATAAGGGAGCTATATGCTGGCTCCACAGAATTTTTTGGTTTACAGGTAAAAAAATTCTATAGTTAAATAAAACCATGGTAAAATGCTTGATTTTACATCAGTTTTTTTGAGCTGGTGTAAAAAACTGATGTAACAATCTAAACCTGTTATATCGGTTTTTATAAAGCCGATGTAAGCAGAGAAATTCGTCACATCGGTTTTCTTAATAATTGATGTCACTGAAAGCATTGTTCACATCGGTTATTTTGAAAAACGATGTGAATTCGAGTAATATGACATCTGATACGTCAAATTGTCCCGAACCGCTGGATCGCCTCTCCTGAATCGGTTTGCCTTTCGTAGATCGCCGGTAACCTGCAAAACATGCCGGGGGTTGTCCCGGCGCGAACACTCCGACGCCCAAGTCAGTGAAGAATTCAGATAAGGTAGCAGTTATAGAAGACAATGCTTATTTCGTTTATGTTGTGTGTTGTGTGTAAAAAGAAACATGTTCTCCCTTTTATAGTTGAAGAACCGTGACCTAGAAAGACTCCTACTGCCGATAGAGTTCTACTTCCGCCCGCCTCTTGGCAATGCTAATCTTAACAGAGAGGAAGACTCCATGACCTATACGTCAGTGACAGATCGTTAGATGAGCTCGGCCAACGTCGAGCTTTCCACCAACTTTCCTACCCCAGCTCGGCTGCGCCCAGCTCCGACATCCAGATCGCATTTTACACTTAGGACCAGCTACCCTTGCGCACCATGCCTAGCTTGTCATTTCAAGGCTGCTTAGCTCAAACACCTACCTCGGACATACGCGAGCGGCCGAACTCAAAAACCTTTCTTACCATTATGCTTTCCCATCACCGGTCCAATCTCTGTTGAGCTTATTTTCAACTCGGTTTTCAGGACCGCCTTTGTCACTGCTAAGGACCACCCAACCGAGCTACAAAGATGCTATATCAGCATCAGTTTCCACGCCAGCAACGTCAAATATCTTTATTTACATTAATTTTATTAATAACCAAAGTATATAAAATAAATTTTTCCATCTATTTTTAAGAAAACTGATGTTAAATGTCTTGTTTTAAATCGGTTTTTAAACCAACCAATGTAAAACATTTAATAAAATTGATTTTTCATATATTTTTGGCCTATTTTTTCACTTATGCATTTGGGAAGGTGGAGTATTTTTTCACTTTGTATCTTCGATGTTTAACACGAAATGCGGCACCAATTATCAATCATGAAAAGAACTTTAACTATAACTCAAATTACGCACGTGTCTGTGTGTGGCCTAATTATATTTGACCGGAGAGGCGCTACATAAAATTCAATGGTTTAACGTGAGGCTGTTTGTGGGCCCAGGTATGAGCTACTACTGTTCATTTCCACGTCGGATATCGTATATTCAGATTTGGACGGAAAATTGAGTCAAAAAGATAGACAAACGGGTCAACCCAACAGATATGGAACGCTACCGGCCAAAACGAACAATTTTCAATCATCTTATTAAACGGATAATAAACAGGCAAGTGGGCCCGTTAGTCAATATAATATGAAAGTGGGTGCTGTATATATACTAATATAAGGAAAGTAGTGAGTGTATGGAATAATTTGGAAAAAGGCATAGGAAAACATTCCCCAATTTGAAAAAAGGCATAGGAAAACATTCACCAAACTTTCCGTCTTTTTATTTTTTATTTTTATTTTTGTGGATCACCATTCTTCCCTATTTATTAGTTTCAATCAATAATAATATTTTTTTTTCCTTTCAAGTAATAATGTTTGTTTATTGTGTTCTTAAAATTGGGGTGATTGTTTATCAATTCAATTAGAAAAAAATTAATCAAAACTCAAATTTAACTCAACTTTAATCAAACTCCACTATCCTCAATATTATCGATATAATTAAATAATATCAACCAATCATTCTTCTACATCACATCAACTTTAATTCACGATAATCTACTCACATAATTTTAACTAACCATCACTTTCAATCATTTTTCTCATACTTTACATCAAATCAACTTTAATTATTTTAATATATCCACTAACAACTAACCATGTCATTTTTTTTTTTTTTAAAATTAACTATAGTTAAAAAAGAAACCAAATAAAAACTAGTTAAATCCATAAACAATCACCCACGAAATGTTTTGGTAGCTCCAGCAGTTTTTGTGGTGCATATAATTATAGCGTGTGGAACCAGCGGTGAATCCAGAAGTATTTATCAGCCAGGGCAAAAACCAAAGTAAGGAAACAATTCATTTCAATACTGAAAATATATGTCAAAGCTCGACATGATATTAAACTAAAGAATGATGAAAAAAAAAGAGAAGAAGATAATTAGATAAAAAAAATGCGAACAATGAAATAACAAAGCATACATGTTTTAGGACTGAGAATTTTCTTCCTCGTCTCTTCTTGTTTTTGAAATAAAATCATCTACAAGTAAGCACAAAATTCATAGATCAACACAATATATATATATATATATATATATATATAAACTAATCCTGGTGTGAGAACCATATTTGATGCTACTTTCAATTGTGTATTATGTTATTTTTAATATTAAATGGTGCTATCATTTTTACAAATGCTAACATAAATTGTGTTGCTATTTTTAATAAAATGCATCCTAATTAAAAATAGCACTAAAATACAATCAATCATAACACTACATACAATTAAAAATAGCGGTTATCACGGTTTTCACGCTAGGACTTAGTTCTCATTTGAACCAAATCCTATATCTATATATATAGGAATTAGTTCAAATGCAGCCGCTTTTTTAAAGTGAGGATGTGAGACTCATTTTTAGCCACAAGATTTGGTACATCATGTGTGGCCAAGATTTTTTTTTAAAATATTTAAATATTATTTTAACCCGTTGACTCCGGCGTTGACCGTTGACTTCCGACGAAATCTGTTGACTTTCAGCGTTGACTGTTGACTGCAGCGTTGACCGTTGACAACTTACCTTTCAACTAGGTTAGTTCTCTGTAGTTGCTAGGTTAGTTCTATGTAGTTTCTAGACTATTTCTATGTATTTGCTAGGTTAGTTGTCTGTAGTTGCTAGGTTAGTTCTCTGTAGTTGCTAGGTGAGTTCCATGTAGTTGCTAGGTAAGTTCTCTGTAGTTGCTAGGTTAGTAGTTGCTAGGTTAGTTCTCTGTAGTTGGTAGGTTAGTTTTCTGTAGTTGCTAAGTTAGCTCTCCATAGTTGCTAGGACCTGTCCGCATTTTAAGAGATGTCCGCATTTTAAGAGCTGTAATCATTTGATCCGCCCCC